CAGCACCGTTATATGACGCAACAGGCTCCGATGGCTGGGCCACCTGTTGCGCATTCCAGCACTTCGACTCCAGCGACGTGCGTTGGTTGCGGTGTCAACGATTCGGAACGATGTCAAAGAAGTGGCTGGCTTGCGGAACTACGTTCTCGTGGTGCCAGCTGGGTGGTTCGGGATTATCCCGTTCCAGCCAAAGGTTCGGCGGCAGTGTTCCAGGACGTGGTGGGTTTTCGCCTGGTAAGCATTCGCCCTATAAGAGGCCACATATGTCCGTTTAACAACACTGCAACATGGCGGATGTGACTCGCCATTAAATAAGGTCACTGCCCCTTGCTTCTTCTCGCTGGAACAATTTAATCATTCAGCCTGGCGCCGAACTACTGGGAGTATTGGGCCCCTGTTTGAGAGCCAGCCAAACGAAAGGCGTATGAACCGAGCAATCGGTCGCCGGCTCCAAATGGGCGCCATTTCCTGAATTCGCCCCGCTGCCTTGCGGATCAGGTCCCTATGAAATAGGCCCTGGGTGGGTCCCCTAAGTCAATCCCCTTCCTCGGCTTGGGCAACCGGGAAGCTGTATGCCCACACAACGCATGAAATGATGCATTTACAACTTTCTGCTCATGTCTCAAGCTTTTTGAACGCTCTCTCTCTCTTTGGCCGGGGTGCTGGCGGCAGGACATGTTAAATCACATTCCACCGCACCGCAAACCACGTTCCTTCGATCCACGTTCATTCAACCCTCCTGTTCTTGGCAACCCCCCTTCAAGTTCGAGTCTTTAAAAGGGCACTGCAAACAAAAACGGTACCTTTGGTTTCTTCAATGAACTGCTCAAAGCCGACGCACAAATTCTAATACCAACAGCAAGGGTTTTATTGTACTCCGCTCGCTCTTCAAGCTAGCTATGTTCAAGGTTCGATCGCTCATGCAGATTGGTTCACAAGCTGCTCTTGCGCGAACCTTGGAAACCCTCTCAATCGACGTTTGCTGCCTAACCGAAACCCGTTTACAAAACTTTAGCACAACGCTGCGATTGCTCTCATCATCCCCAAATTCCTAGTGCACATTCACCTTGCGCTTATCCGGAGATGCGATAGTGGCAGCCCATGGTTGCGCAGGCGCAGGAGTTGCGTTAAGCGTGCGTGCTGAGGCAGCGCTCATTGAGTTGTTTCCGGTCAACAGTCGTCTTTGTGCAGTCCACTTGGAAAGCTCAGTGCGATCTTCTAGCCACGGGACCAGTAGGCGCTGTTTATTCATTGTGGCGGCGTACGCTCCAACGGAGTGCAGCCCGGACGAAGCTAAAGACGAGTTTTACCGCCAACTCACCAACCTCCTCCGCAAGAAACGCAGCACAGACATCGCGATACTCGCCGGTGACCTAAATGCGCAGGTCGGCAGACTAGAGGTTCATGAGAGCGAACTTGAGGGTTCACACAGTCACGGTACTCGCAGGACGGACAACGGCGATCGACTCCTGCAACTGTCCGCCGACCACGGCTTGTTCCTCTCCAGCACCAATTTCTGACGTTCCTGGCGCCAACGAGCCACCTGGCGATCTCCGGCGCCTGGTCAATCTTGGACGCAAATTGACCACATCGCTGTTAGTTACCATTGGCAAGGATGCATAACGGACTGTAAGTCAATATGGGACATTTACCTGACTTCGGATCATGCGCTCGTGTGTGCTAAGTTTGTTCTGCGCTTTAGAGGCACCCAACAGCGTCGCCAGAAACGGTTTGACACAGACAAGCTCGCAGATCCAAATGTTCTCGGCGCAGTTCAGAACACATTAGCCTCCAACCTACGTTTTCTATCCTCTGATGTTGAGACACATCATCAGGAAACCCCCGAACAAACTCTTCCAATTTATTCGCTCCACGGGAGGCAGAAGACCAACAGTGAGCGAGGTTTTGCGTGAAAATGGGGGTGAACTAATTCACAGTCGTCACCGTCGTCTGGTACGATGGGCAGAGCACCTTGAAGATCAATTCAACTGGCCAGCAGCGAAACCGAGTCTATCTTCCAGAGTTCACAGTGCTCCCTGGTGCGTGGATGTTTCTCCACCGACAGAGGCTGAGGTTTCCAATGAGGTTCGCCTACTAAAGCGCCAAAAGTCACTTGGCCCAGATGAACTTCCTCCTTCCCCTTTCAAATATGGAGGTCCTGATCTCACACACGAAATGACATCTCCATTCCATCAGATTTGGACTACTGAAACCATTCCATCCGACTGGAATTTAGCGAATGTTGTACCTGTACAAAAAAGAGACCGGACCATTTGCTCCAACCATCGTGGCATCAGTCTCATTTGTGTCGCATCCAAACTGCTCGCTGACCTACACTTACGGAGGCTGTTTCGTACGAGAACAGCACCTGCGTAAACAACAAGCAGGATTTCGCCCGGGTCGCGGTTGCGTCGATCACATCTTTACGATCCGCCAGATACTTGAATATCGCCATACGCTGAGTCGACCAACTATAGTCATACTCTTGGATATTCGAGCCGCTTTTGACTCTGTTGAGAGAGTGGCACTTTGGGACTGCTTACAGAAGAGGGAAGTATCTGAGAAGAACATTAGCATTCTGCGTGCTACTTAACATCAAACTTCAGGCCGCGTGCGAGCATACGGAGACATTTCGCCCCATTTCACTATCACTATCGGTTAGACAGGGTTGCCCAGTCTCTCCATTCTTGTTCAACTTAGCCATGGATGAGATCCTGGATACTGCTCTGGATAACTCTGAGTCCTGCGGTGTTGAACTGCTCCCCGTTGACCGCCTTCGGGATTTAGAGTATGCCGATGACATCGTTGTGATTTTCGAGTCTTCCCAAGTCGCCCAGCATGTGCTGCTCAGACTGCAGATGTTCGCCGCCCAATTTGGGTTGAGCTTTGCCCCTTCCAAATGTAAGGTCCTATTACAGGATTGGCCAAGCGCATGTGTTTCTTTCACCCTTTCTGGGCATCCGTTGGAAGTGGCCAACAAATTCATTTATCTTGTTAGTTGTCTTAGTATTGGCGGTTTGACAGATAAGATATCCCTGCGTGTCTCCAAGGCTAGAGTCGCTTTCGCTAACCTTCGTCACCTGTGGCTTCGTCGTGATCTCAACTTCGCTCTCAAGGGACGAGTCTATAATGCTACGGTACGAGGGATTTTGCTGTACGGCTGTGAGACATGACCCATTCGCAAATGCGATGTTCAGCGGCTATCTGTCTTCGATCACCACTGCCTGCGAAGCATTGCTGGTGCTCGATGGCAGCATCACAACAGTAATGAGGAAATCTGCCGGCGAGCCTTCAGATCTAACGAACTCCGCCGATTGATTGATAGCATCATCTCACTACGGCGACCTCGCTGGTATGATCATGTGCTTCGCATACCTACCCAACGGCTACCACGACGAGCCCTATTTGCGAGCACAGGCGTGGTTGGGAAGCGACGAAAAGAAGCGCAATGTAGAACTTTGATCCAATGCGTTAAGGCGCGAACGTTGAAGCTGGCTGTTGTCGAGCGTTCCCGACACCCGGGTAGGGGCCTATAGGACCCCGAGCACACCTGGTTGCAAACGCTGGAGGATATGACCAAGGGCCGTACGCAATGGCGCACTTGCTGTGAGATGCTTCTACCCTAACAGTTGTTTTCCCTTGCAGGCTATTCTTTTTTCTTCTTTTGCGTTGTGGCACTCAACCAACTATATTGCAATTGGTATAGTGTTGAATATGATACTCACCTCCAACTTAATCAGGTGACGTGTTCATTTAAGGAGGAGGATATTGATACATACGATCAGCCTTGAGAATACGCGGGTAACGTGCGCATTGCATACGTGTCTTTGGAATATTGACGATCAACACGCTTGTATGTTTCCACTAATCGTTAAAATACACGGTTCTTAGCTGTTGGTAGGCTTTGTTGTGATTTGGCCTGAGGCCTAGTGTGCTTACAGGGAGGCAACAGTCCCCTAGGCGGACTGACTGTTTAAAGTGTGTTTGGCGCTGTGTTATCTACGGGCTAATGGCTGCTTATGACACGCGGTAGTGTAAGCCGCAAAGAAGCTGTCTCACTGATGCTGCCTTATCTTTGCACGATGGCCAGCTCTTTGTGACGGTATGTTGACAATGCGTCGGCGTCTTGGCCCTGAATGTCTGCTTACGGCATTAAGGTTTTCCGGTAAATTCCCTTTCTCTCCCTCATTTTATTCTTCGTTCCGTAGTTCCTTGTGGTTGTATGACAACGAAGCATCAGTTCAAATGGCTGATGTACTGCTACTGCAGATGGTGATGCCGACGGAACACCGAATAAACCCAGCGAATGAAATCAGGACCCACCAGTGCATCCAGGATGATACAAATATTGGTGTCGAGCAATCTGAACGCAACAGTTTTGACCAGCAGTCGAGAAGCAACGCAAGAAATACTCGTAACGCATTTAGATGAGTTTCGACGGAAAAACTCAGCAATTTTGTTAGATATGCTGAGTGCATGCAGGTTTCTGAGTTCCACAACATCTCACTCCCTAAAAACTACGTCGACCTCACATTTTAGCCTAGACAATTGTAGATGCTAATCAAATATCGGGAGGCACCAAAAGTGCAATGTTGAGTGCAAGAGAACGAAGACAGTATAAAAGCAGCTAAACAATACTAGACACATCCATGTGGAATCACGATTCAATCTGATTACAGCAAATGAGCACAAGCTTGCCTTGTAATATGAGGGTGCGGGTTGGAGACTGTGTAAGGACCGGGCAATAGTGGCAGTATCCTTAGCCTACGTGCGACTGGTGGTGGTTGCGCGGCAGCGAAGCGTCGGTACTGTGTACCAGTGTATTGCTGATGCCTTACCTTATTACTACCGAAAAGGATGGAACATCTGGGGATTTCACCAGAAGTGGCATGAATAAGCGAAACGCACCAGCAACTGAGTTTGCAGAAAATAAAGCATGTCAGTTAAGGAATGTAATAGAGGGAAACGATTCGTCAGTCGAGAGCGGAGAATAACGGAGTCAGGTACAAATTAGTTTATATTTCAAAGCCACCACAAGGATTGAATATGTGCGTGTGGCGCAAGAAAATGATTGAAATAAGAGGACCGGTGAGTCATAATCACGAAACACACGAGGGGAGTTGAGAAAAAATGTGTGCATCACTCAGGCCAAATGCATGATGAAGTCAGGAGAACAGCCGAAATACACGATAAGTTCAACGAGGAGTGAGAATCACGTGATCGAAATAAGACGGAAAATATGTACGACATGTTTCCGACAGTGTCGAACCGAGGTGCGTATGACCTTGAGTCTTGACAGGAAGATAGTGTGAAAGTAGCTGGTAGGAAAACAAAAAAACTCTATACACACAAAGTGAGAAAACTATGTTAGACGGCAGAGGTCTAGAGAGAGAGAGGGAAGAAACAAGCTGCAGTGTGTTGTGTCAGAAAGAGACTTCAATCAATCGTATGTACACCGAGCAGGAAGTTGGGGAAAAGGAGGAAAAGTCGAAGATACACGTGGTGAGCGAGAGAACGCTTCTCGCAAGAAAGAATTATACCACGGTAGATTCGCAAGACCACAGCATACAAGATGGCAGGGAAATAAATGCAAGTAATGTTGGACGCAAATGCATCGCTCATGATGGCAACAGCAATGGGTACTATCACAACTGCGTGATGAAACAAAGAAAGGAAGAGGGCAACAACCAACGCAAGTGAAATACAGAAGAGATAAAAGAAATCGATAAAAACGGGTGATCAATACATGAAACAGATGATATCAGCGAAAAATAAAGCCTGGATAGAAGATAGAGTGATCAACTCTAGTTTCCGACAATATGATGTCACGTGGGCGTGTGGTAATTTGCTGTACAATCATCACGGGAAGGCTTTTGCCGGTGCAAACTCAGGCTGTATGAGTGGAGGCTGTGGCGTTTGACCAAAACAACGAAGTGGCTATCGTGGTGTGAGGGATGTTGCGTTTCGTGTCGAGTAGGCCACACACACAAGGCGGAGTGGCAAATAGTCAAATGCCCACGCCACACAGCACACACAAGAAAACAGCCAAATCAAATGGTTCGCAAAATGCAGCATAACGTTGCCTTTGAGATGGTTAACGTCTACAAGAATAGACCAAACTAATGGGAAGTTAAAATCACTCGTTTGATACTTGCTTGGTCGAGGAACTGGACAAACCGGCAGAAGTGGCACGTTCTTCCGGCTCGATTACGCCCCGGCTGGTTTGGGACAACGGAGACGGACCACTAATGCCCGACATATAAACTGTCTGCTCACTGGTTCCGGGACTAAGGGCTGCGCTGAAAGAGGCATGAGAGTTGCCAGTGTTCCCACACGAGACGGGCATAGATGTCTGATGATTGAGACGCGGGCGACTGGGGTTTGTTAGCGGCTGAGGAGGAGAATGGGATTTGAGATCGGTCCGATCAGTTACATGGCCTCGTAGTGTCACAGGGCTGCTCCTCCCCAGTGAACCGGTTAAGGTGACCGAGGCGATTGAGTTCGGTATTGTGGTTGCTGGACCTCCGTCCGTGCTGCTTGCCATTGGATCGATGATGCCGTACATTTTGTGAGCTTTTCGGTTCATATGGGACATTATTTCGCAGGATAATCGATAACCCTCGATAATCTCCTCCTTCCATTGAGTGATCAAAACCTTGTCCTGTGGGCGAAGAGAGGAAGTTCACTGTCATGGTTAAACAAGGTACTGGGGCATAGCGGTGTCGAAAAAATCGAATGCAGATAGACTAAAAAGGTTGGTGATTCCTAGACTATTTCATGGAACAATCCCGAATGAACACATATATCTGAAGAACCAAGTCAGCAAGATGTGACGACCACATTTAAAATAGCACTGCAGAAAAACAATCTGTTGTTTAATGTGGGGTCTTTAGTGTGCTTTGTCAAAGGAGTAGAAATTGCTAAAGATGAACCTGTAGAAGTAGAGGCGATTTAGGTGCGTCAGTCAAGTGCCGTTTATTTACTGGGAACGGACCACGAGATCGTTGGAAATGTGGGCCAATGATTTCTTGTAAGTGCTAGAGGAAGAAGTGAATGCCAAGGAGGAGGTGCGAGTCTTGGTCGATTCGCGTGGAAAACATGCATCGTCTTTCTGCGTTCGATAACGGTTGCTTAAGGACGGACGCTCGTGTTTTGTGGCAACATCGAGTTAATAGTAATGACGTTCGATGTGGCATCTTGGGGAATGTGAGTATTCCCTTCAACAAACTGGTTTTGTTGCGCCAGTTAAGATGGCTCGGTCATGTCCTACGCATGGCACTTGAGCGTCAACCGCGTCGCGCTCTATTCACTCGTCAAGGACCTGTCTGGAGGCGACCGCGTGATGGTCAGCCATCCACTTGGCGACAGTACATAAAATCTCTGACGTGTCTAACTGCTGTTGGATCCGTACATCTTCCAGGATGGGGACCCAAAGATGAGGAGCGCCAGTGGCTTAGCACTCTTGAAGACATGGCCCGCAACCAGGATTAGTGGAAGAATTGTGTACAGTATTGTATTGATTCACATGTTTAATACTACAAACATTAACAATGACGAAAAAGAGAAAAATCGGCGTGTGAAAAACAAATTAAAAATGTTTTGTCCTACTTTTTTCAAAATGTTCCATTCTTCCTGCGGCATGTTAGCTGAAGTGTGTTGCTCACCTTCAACAATCATGCCACGATGATTATGACGCAATGACTGTCTCTTATCCACTGATCTCCATGGTTTTCAGTTGGCTCTTTGTGTAGTTGATAGACAGCTGATATTACTACTACTACTACTACTACCACCACCAAACAACAATGTGGGCAACACCCCGAATGCATATACGGCGCCAGCAAAGGACGAAAAAAGAAACCCAGAGATAGAGAGGGAAACGCTTACGTTGGAGGTAATGTACAAGCGATTATCGTTCTTCAACTTGATGGAGATGCAGTTGTCCATTTTGCACACTCGGCAAAAGGCGGGAGAAATCTCCTTGATGTCCATCATCGAAATTAACTGGTGAGCAAGGAAGCAACGTGACGAACATCAGTTCGATAAAAAAAAGGATTACGAACAACTAGACAAGGTGAACGCAGAGACACAATCATCTAGGCGATCCTAGAATTTCGTGCAACGCCGCGAAATGCGAGAAATTGTGGTCTCCGAATGATATTTGACAGGACAAGCAGGCCAAGCACGCCGCCAGCACACGAAAAATCACATGCAAAACCACTGGCCTGCAGTGGCATACGAGCTGAATGCGACATAAAGCATTATCGGAAGAAATGCGTTACTATCGTAAACCTGAAGAAATGATGCGAAGTGAACAACAAAAAAGTGGGTACGAATAGTGCCGGACAGCATAGTATTTCCACAAATAGGAACACTGTATATTGCACATGGAAAATGGATGGAGGCCGCAAAGTAACAATATATCGTGATTCCAGACAGAGGTCACTTACGTCCACTCCTTTTTTCAGGACAAGTCCATCTCTGGACTTGTTGTATAACTCCAGCCGATTGGGGAACAACCGTAAGTGCTTCCGTTGCCAGGTCTGTAGGAAGGGGCCACCGAGTTTCAGAACTTCACCCTCCACAATGCAGTCGGATGTGAATCCATCGGTACTCAGGAGTTCCGCACCCGCTGTACTAGTGGAACCGGAGGAACTGACGGGAATGTTGCCGAGGCCACCTCCAGATGACCCGAAGTTTGTCGAGCAAGGTGCATTATATGCATTCACAGGGCCGATGGAACACGTGGCCGGGCCCAATTCATCAGCTATTTGGTTAGAACGCTGTCTGGCTCGAGCTCGCTTGGCATCCAGCTTGTCGGCTTCTTGGTTCACTACATCAAAGACGGTCTCTGCTATCTCCAGTTGCCACCGCTCAGACACCACGAGCGAGAAGTTCTGGTAGAGGGCCTGATCGGATTCGGTAAGCTAAACAGTAAAATGAAATCGGAAATGTGATTGGTTGTTGGAAGTATTGTCACGGAAAACAAGGCGCAAATTACGATGATATGACGAGAAAGAACGTTCTACTATGCGATAAGCAAATGTACGACGAGTGTTGAGAATAGTAAAACATTAAAGTTGAATTGCATAAGGAAGGCAACAAAGTAATCATCAGAGCACAAAGAAATGTTACTTTATGAAAAAAGCGCTTAAATTGGCCAAGCGCAACAATCAGGTCAAGGTGTTCAACTGCCTGAGTCCTAAGCTATATCAGAACTATAAATAGCTTCGTCCGAAAATTAGAGGCCGGTATGCTAACTACTTCCCAAAGAAGGCTGTTATACGTACTCAATTGAAGCCGAGTATGGTCGATACAAGATGAAGCAAAGGCGTGATGGATCGAACCACACCATATCCTCGCCCCGGTAACACAGTATAAATGAGAAATAAGATAAACATATCACGATTATAAAGTATGAGATAAGTAACATAGCAGCTGAGATGATTGATCAACAGCTACAAACAGTGTGAAGATACGGTCACCACCCGGGAATCCTCGGATGAACCACAATGCCTCTGGCCACCCAAGTGAATGGTGGTTCCGTTCCCCAGGGAACTGATGTGCCACCCTACGCACCGCCTTTTGCGGCTAGCGCCAAGAGAGTAAATTGCCGATGGAAAGACACACGCAGGTAAGAGAAAGACAAGGAAATGTGGCGTGGTAGATATGGTAATGTATAACCGAGTTTTTGATCGAAACCCAACCTAGAAAGAGCCGCAGGATGCGAGCGATGTCTTCGTAGCGGCAGTTAGAGACATACCTTTTCTGTCGAACAGGAAGTCTAATGCGCACGTTTTATCACAATGAATGGTAGGCTGATGTTTGACTATATTCGAAAGTCACAGGAACGATCTTGCTCAAACAAACGAAGCTGCTCGATGATATACTTCACACACGTGATACCGTCGCTTGGGTAGGTGTGATTGGTACGACGGACAGCTCCTCGGGACCAGTGCTAATTGCTGACAAGTTAATCTAGTATTGGCCAAGGGAAGTGCAAATTGGCGGAGAAGATGTTGAAGAGTACACAGAGATGTTCACATTGAGACAGAGGATGAAGGTAAGTGCGTGTGACTTAGCTCACTAGTCAAACGATAGAGTTTAGATAAGATTGCCCACGGCAAGTACCACCACCATGTCTCAGAAAAAAAATATAAATACAGAAGCTTCCATGCACATTCCATCGTGATGACGACAAAAAGTGAACCATCAAATACAGTGATGATATAAACAGCAAGGTCCAAGGTTGAGACACAGAGATACTCCAAACTCGCTTTCACGATCTGCAAGGATCCCATAGTAATGTAAAAGTGAAAATGCAAAATGCACAACAGAACAGTTAACCGTGACTCTGATCGACCAAAGCGTGAAGAAGTTAAGTTAATCCAATAGAAATTTTATTTATCTGAGTGAGCACATTTTCAGAATTTTACAATACCCGATGCGGATGTCTTAGAACAAGGTCAGTAAAAATGTACAATTGTACAAGTGGAAAATATGGCATTTGGAGTACAAGTGTCACTCGAAGAAACAGGCCCGAATCTGCATCCTGTTGACGGTACAGTGTCGAAACCCAGTGTGTCGAGCCGGAAAAAGATTCCTTAAGTTACAAAACTTGATAAATCCGCGCAATACGCGAGTGTCAAAGTCCATATTCAAAAATCGGTAATAGTGACCTTAAAACTGGCATACTTAAAGAAAATATCAAGATGCTTAGGGAAAACTGGTAAATTCGTAGCAGATAAAGAGCGATGTTCGGTGAAAAGGTAACTGTCGATTTAGAGACCCCACGTACTAAACCAAATAAGGACAAAATGGAGGAACAAAGGGTAAAACGTGAGCAAAGTAGGTACAGAACCGCGGGTTGGAAGAGAAGAAATCCCTCAAGATCAGCGGCCACTATTTACGGTGTTTCTATCGTGGTGAATAGAGAAGAAAACTGTAACAGAAAAGAAATGCACAGGAACATGGACGGGAGTGATTCCTTAGTGTTCCATAGAACCAGCGTCAAAAGCTTAGAGCTACGAGACGGCAGGTCAGGTACTCCGATCATGGAAACCACACAGAGTCGAAGAATCAAAGTATCACGAGTACTTTGGATTACCTGCGGACACGCTTAGTTTAATGAACACAAAAACAGTTCGTTCCCCTTAGTAAGTTGAAAAGCACACTTAGACGAATTTTGGCAGATGCATGCATTTCGGATCGTCACATCAGTGCCGATGACTGATGAGACAATACAAAATGCATGCATCTTCGGAACTTCATCTACTAATTGTGCTTTACAAAAGACATTGCCCAAGATGGAATGTGATGAAACACATAGAGCGAGAGCAAAAAAGCAAAATGCCCATCAACAACAAGAGTCCAAAGCCCGTGTGAGCAGTTTGCAGGGAAATTAGTGAAAGAACACGAGTCAGAGAGACCAACCTTAATCCCTTTGGTATCTTCTTCATCGAATGAGCCGATATCAAATGCGTCAGCCGCATTCACCTCACCGCGAGGAGGTATGAGAGGAGGGGGATACTTTTGCGAATAAACCTGATGCCAGTCCACACCTTTGAAAAACGGATGCTCTCTTAATTCCAAGGATCTGGAAAAAAACGACAAAAACGAACGCATTCCGAAGTTGCGAAGTTCACCGAAACACTGTGCAGTTGAGAATTTCAGACTCAAAAGACTGTTGTGAATCAGTGTGAGTAGTGAGTATAACAATGGAAATCGTGCAGCTAAGTGAAATAAGGCAGCGATTAAACGTATGCTACTAACATATACTGAGGACGAGTACGAAACGTGGCAAACCGTGATAACATGTATGTATGATTTTATAGCGGATTACAGGGCAGTTGAAGAATCCGCTGAGTATACCATTAGTGATGCTATCAGTCTGCGGATGCAGCTGTTTGTATTAGCCCCTGAAGATAGCGAGTAGGACTGGCTCTGTAGATGCTACCCAACAAATTCAGACACGTAATTTAGATAACTCGAAGCGGGTGACCAGGTTAACTGGAAAGCCGGATGTAACCAATGCTATGATGCATGAAGGCGGTTTTCCGGGACAAAGCAGTGAAGGCTTCCGTGAAACGCATTGCGTCAAAAAGTAGACTCTTGTGCTGCGTCTGCCGTTGTTTTCGCATTTTCCATGCTCTCTTTGCTAAGTGAACCCGCAGTGGCTCAGAAGCAGCAACAACAGCACAACAAATTGGACAGGTCCAGTCTGTAAAATAATGTAAACAGCCGATCGCGCTGATGCCAAATGCTACCGTCGGTTGATTGGGATACACAGCGGGGGCAATAACTACTCGGGGGAACGATGAGCACGTGTTGTTCAGTGGACAGCTATCAAAGGTGATTCGCTTCAAACGAGCTGTTCACTCATCCGTGAACTGAGCTTCCCAAAGTGATGGGTGAGTTGAAAAGTGAACTTCCCAGTAACCCGAAAATGACAGTGATGAAGACAGTGTTCCATAGAAAGGCAATGAATGGAAGGGAACGAGTTGAAATTCAATTAAATAGGTAGGGAAATAACTAGTTAAAATGGATTTGTAAACATGAAGATGTGAGGTGAAACAGGACAAACGCGCACACTGACCCGTCAGAGTGGAGAAAAAGGGTTTGCAGAGAATACTAAAGAATGAAAGCATTGTAGCGAGAAGACATAGTTTTATAGTTTTGCTGTAGTTGAGCTGAATCAAATTTGTGTTACGCGATTTGTTTTTCGCAACGGTATGAACAGATGGGCATAATAAGCGACCTTTAATGGGTAAAAACCGCAGCATCCGCAGCCTCAAGACAGTGAGCATCGAAATAAAAATATACAGCACAGTAGGGATATACAAATAAATAAACGATAGTTCTCGATAGGAACGAGACCCGCCATGATATGACATAATCAGTGATTGACAGACGGACAGTGACATCGATCAATGTTGGATTGTAGGAATTTCAAGAAATCTTTTGGAAGATCAACCTGCTATGCTGCTGTACATCCACTGAAAACATGTACTGATGGGCAGGTGAAGGAGCAAGACAGAGTACGATGATAGTGCACAAATGATTTTATATATATATATATATATATATATATATATATATATATATATCCATAATGATAGAGGTCGAGCCAATCAAGGGGAATGGGAATGAGGAATGCGCCCAACCCGCGAAAGGGAAAATGAACAATAGATTAGATTGTCTTCACGTGACGTTTACCGCTAAGACGATCTTTTAAGCCGGTATTCTACATTGCGAATTTATGCAGACTTTGAACAGTATCTTCGCACTGCAAAGGATTTGCGTCATTGCTTCGAATGCTATGGATCAATGGCCACTTGCATTCCCAGCTGAAGGCAACGATGGCTACGCGAAACATCTGGGATTTCACACTACGTCGGACGATGTAAATGACGTATGGAAGTGCTCGAGAAAAGCACATCTTCCCAACGCTTCCAAATATAGTTCCAGAAAAAGAGAAAAGCATACAGAGTGAAAGTAATGGGCTGACTGATAAGCGTAGCTGTTGCTGTACGGAGTACGTAACAGCAGAATGATATGAGGACCCATGTCATAGGAATTCCTTTTCTCTGTCAATCAGAGGTACTTTCCTTTCGGGATTACATATTGTCGAACACGTAAGCCGGTGTGGTCAATAGTGAGTCCCAATCGCCAAGCAGCAACAGTCCCGGGAGGTCATCAGCCAAGTGCCGTGTTCCGCTTCATAACCACTGACTCGATCGCAGCTCGTCAGTGATGGAACTTGTCACATTACGAGTGGGATTAGGTGACCTAGTTAGATAGTAATCCTGAGAAACCAGACTCAGGCCAGAACTCTGACTGATGGTATTAAGGGCGAATAAATGAACTAACTGCACCTACGGTCTCAATAACTGAGAACTCCCTCGCACAACTGTCTCAGATCATTTGAAATAATGATCTGATATTCCAATGGCACAGACCTTCAATTCGCAGTCCATTGTTGCTCCCGGTCAAATCTAGAACCCAATATTGTTGCGGATTGTTTGCAGTCGACGATGTGATGGATTCGTTTTTCGTGCATCAATCTGGCCAGTCGAAGCTCCAGTAATCCACACACTGCTCAGCCACCTAGAGCTGACAGGACAGTAGTGTTTGAATTAATTATTGAAGATGACTCAAATCTGCCTTCGGTTCGTGTGTGACAGCTAGTTACACAACTCGGATTGATACTTTTGCTAAATGGGTCCCGAATACAGTTGACAAGAGGGCACCTCAGAAGTCGACAATTTTACAGAGGCTTGTAGAATGAGTGCTATAGGGAAAATCACAAAAGCAGTTGGAGAAAAGATAAGTGCTTCAAATGCACTGCTGTGTGCAGTTGATGGCGACGTGATCGAACTGAGTCCAGAGTAGCCTGTCGCTCGATAGTAGGCCATGCAATTCGATGCGTGTGTTGGAAAGACATGCTGCCGAGATAGAGGTTGAAGAAGGCAGTCATTGTTGTCAGTACGACAGGTATCGAATCCTAAATGGCTTCCTGGGCAACAGACCGTGTCTAATGAACAACATGCTTGCGAATCCATGTTATTTCCGAAGACCACAATATCCGCAAATTTGGTCATCTGGGAAAGATCTCATCACTGACAGATTCTGAGAGACAGTCGGCAGGGGCGTACCTTGAATTAGTAAATAGACATATCAGCCATTCTTTGTTAATGGTAATGGAGTTTCGAAGTCGAATGGCACGCATGCCGCTACTCGCGAAGATACGATTTTGGAGAACAGTCCCTACACGTCTACTGAAAGCGGTTCTAGTACGGCAAATTCCGCGAGTTCTAGATTCGGAAGTACCAGATGCCACGAAAATCGGTTATTCAGGGGCAAGCGTTCATCCGGCGGGGCAAATCAGTGAAAATTGCAGCGCGTCTAACAAGCTGAACACTTAAGTATATTGCTCGTGCACCTCTATGAACAACGACTTTCCGGGAAGATGAGGTTCCTCATTTAATCCAGCTAAACAAACGATGAAGAAATCACCGTAGTGCAGAAGTACATTGGTCAAGCAGCCTCCAACAATCGAATGCACTAGATTCGCCTCCTATCGACTGTTTGGTTTGCGCCGTAGATCCATCCATGCACTTTTATAACCAAATTAACACCACACCTAGCCAATGGGATCCGAGAGCAGTGAGCACGATTGCATTTGTAGAATCTTGTATACGCATCAACCAAGAAAGAGGATAATGCAATAGCGAGTGTCGCACGGCAATTCACATGACGGTGTGCGGACAAGCAAAAAAGCACAATTGTAATGATGTTGTATGTTAAAAAGGCGTGGCACCTTATTTGTCAACGTGACTTGTGATGTCAGTAGTGGTCTGTCGCTAGTGGATTTGTGATAGGGAATGAAAACAGAAGACAAAGAAAGGTTACTGGCGACGGTGACTTTCAAGTTGGATACGTTCACCGACCACTCATTTTGAGATAGACTTTGTTGGAAGCTCCCCATCTTTACAACAACAGTGGAGTGAGTGGGGTTCATCCGAATGACCCAACATTTAGCGAGAAGGACGTGAAGTTCATGAGTGTGACGGAATGTCTGAGACCAATTACGCGCAGTACTGGGAGATACAGAATGAGTACATGATAGGACATATTTGCGATCACGGTCCACGGTGGACAAGTTTGCGTAGTTTCGTACTTTACTGGCCAGCGGCCGCTTTGCTAGAAAAGGATCGTAGCAAACGGTTGATGAGCAGGTAGGGCTCACTTGCCGACAGACAACGCATGGCAGTTAGCTCTACGCTTCCTATGTCTTAGTTCAGAAGAAAAGGAGCATCAAGTTACCCCAGTCAACATCAAACAAGACGACAATGAAATCGAGTTTGTCTGACTTCCATCCATTGATCTGTCTGATATGAGTGGCTCCGTAAGCACTTAAGTTCTGCTGTCCAATGCAGTTCAGTAGATCATAGGGGTAAGCAAGCATCACACAACGTCAATGCCAATTCCCATCGTGATGATTCGAATACGTTCACATATGGAAAGAGCTGGTTGTGTTACAGAACACCGCAAACAGAGAGTGAGAGAAACTCCCACAGCATGGCAGCACTATACATTCGCGCAGAAACAGGGTAATCACAGACAAACAAGACAATACTGAAGCTGGACAGACAGACTGTAATGTACCACAAAGATGTAACCACGCCCCCTACTTTGCTGCTGCCGTCTAAAGGGCAAATTGTGAACAAATGGGATTTTTGAAAGTTCTAATTATTCACTGGGAGATAGGTGAGTATGAAAGATTGACCGTTTAGCTTTGATCATCCAAAAAGATGCTCGTCCCGCAATTACAACAACGGAAAAGTGGATTCAATTGATGGACCATTTCAAACATGTGTTGTGTGAGTGGATTAGAATGCGCTTTCTCAATGTGAACCGCGATTCGTGTTGCAGTGAACCGTGAACAATCCGATCACTGGGACCGTAGCTGGAGCAGACGAATATTGGGTGAATCACTTTGTATTCGATACGTAGCATATCAGGTACAAAATGTCTACTCTAACTTCCCCACTTGCACTTGTATGTTCACCGTTGAGTTTTCATGACGCCTATTGT